TCCCGCCCCCGCCGTGGCTGTGGCCGTGCGACATGGCAACGCCACCTCCCGCGCGTCCCCTCAGCCCAGCCGCACCTCACGCCGCGCCCGCTCCGCTCCGACCGCCAAGCGCGCCGCGTGCGCCGCGTCGTAAAAGGCGCCCCTGTGCGGCGCATGCGCCCGGGGACGAGGAGGCGGGGTTCGGAGGGGATTGACGTTTGACGATCGCTTTCCAGGTGCCCCGGGGTGAAGGTTGACTCTCAGTCCCAGAGATGGTCGCTGTTACTATCCCAGCTTCACAGATATGGAAACTGAGGGACGGAGAGGTTAAGCTGATATCCCGAGGAAACGGCGGGGCTGGGATTCGAATCCTCCTCCCCCGACGCTAAAGTCGGTGCTCTTGTCTTTGACTACCACGTTTCTCAGGGAGCTGGTGAGGAAAGGTGCGGAGTGATAAGGCCCTGGAGACAGAGAACACAACCTTATCACTGGCTGACACGTGCTCGCCCAGGCGTTGACAGCTCACAAAAACACTGTCCTAACCGCTTTCTTGAAAGCGTGCTTAGGGGTAGTGAGCCCGGCCTTTGTGGACGGCCTCACCTGGAGGCAAGGCCTGGGTCTGCTAGACGGTGGGAGATACTCTAGGTTATTTTCCCTATTCTGAGACCCTGCTCTCTGGTCTGTAAGGTGGGAAGAATAATATATGTTTCATAGGATCGCAGTGAGTATTAAACTAAACAATACAATTAAAGAACTCAGCACAATGTTGTAGACACCAGGTCGAAAAACAACAAAAACAGAACTCAGCACAATGGCTGATAGGTAGGCCCTTCGATAGCTGTTGGCTATTACAATCACATCCAAGCGCTGCCATTTAATAGCTGTGTGGCCTTGGACAAGTGTCTTTACCTCTCTGAGACTCAGTTTGTGTACACAGAAGTCTAGATTTGTGCCTTTTCTTTAAAACTCAGAAGATGTGGCAACACTGGGCTCTGCCTTCCACCTGGAAACAGTCAAGTGGAGCTGTGTAAATAGCTCTCGTCCTCCTGTTCCCACCACTGCGCCCATTGTCTTATACCAAAACCCTGGTATTTGAGTTTGTGACCCCGAGATAAGAAAGTAGGTAGAGGGCTGGCCAGTTAGCTCAGTTGGTTAGACCGCAGTGTTGAAAACACCAAGGTCAAGGGTTCAGATCCCATACTGGCTAAGATTTCAGTTATCAGGAAGGATTTGCTGACCTCAAAATAGTTCTTAATTTGTGGCCCTAAAAGTTTCAGAAAAAGTTCAGCCCAAACTTTTTCCTTTAGTCCCACATTTAGAAGAAATGAAGGAAGGACACCACAATTTATTCACCTCTCGTATAACTTCGTATAATGTATGCTATACGAAGTTATTACGTGTTGTCAGCACCACGCTCTCCCAAGTGAGCTAACCGGCCATCCCTATATAGGGATCCAAACCCGTGGCCTCGGTCTTAATCAGCACCACACTCTCCTTAGTGAGTCACGGGCCGGCCCCCAGAGCAGTTTTTTCAAACGGCTGGTTGTGACCCATTAAAAGGTCTTAAAATCCGTTTCGAGGATTGTTTAAAATAAAAAAATACAATACAATTTAAAAAAACCAATGTAGCACACATTTTAAGTCTCAATGCAACTTTTGTTTCAGTCTTGGGTTTGTGTACTCAGGCTCAATGTAGAGTGTTTTTTAGATTATGGGTTGAGGTCAAAAGAATCGAAAGCCACTGTTTACAGTTGAGACGATTTTGTTTTCAGGGTGGAATGCTTGCTTACTCCATGGTGGTGAGGGAAAAGATAGAGGATGGAGAGCAAGAGTTTTAGGGTACTCTGCATATCCCCTACTCTTCACATCTGGCTCTAGAGGTCCCAAACAAGACTGGGTGAAATCTAAACCAAAATATCCATCTGTTTAAGTTCCATCCAGAAATATTTTGATGTCCTACTTCAACTAGTTGTGAAACAGGCAAGCTTCATTCTGGTTCAAAATAGATCAATGTCATGACTTATTCTTCCTTTCACATCACAGTTTCAAGCAAGGGGCCTGGCAGGTGGTAAATGCTCAGTAAATGTTTGCTTAATTGAATAATACACTCAGTAGCTTTCTTTGGAAAGACCTTGTCTCATTGGAGAACCAACACAGGCCTTACCCAGGACATCTACTCACGTTGACTTCTTGCCTGTCATCTCCATCATTGCCATCCTTCAATAATTCACTGAGTCTTATGTGCCAGGCATTGTGCCAAGAACGTTATGTATTTCATCTCAATTATTTGTCACATGAACTTTAAGAGATGGGCACTTCTTTTCTGAATCTTCTTGTTAAAAAAAGAGGTGGAGAGATAGGTACTGTTACCTAATGTTATCTCCAATTTGAAGATGAGGAAAACTGAGAATGAAAGAGGTGAATTTACTTACCTAAGACCAGATAAGGTTAGGAAGTAACCAGGTGTTGAGCACATCCACTTGTGTTCCTGAAACACATCCTCCCATAGTTTCCTGGGGGGGGGCAAGGTGCACATGAAGTTAATATGTTGTATCAATCAGCTTATGCTGTGTAACAAATCACCCTAAAACTCAATAGCTTTGGGTTTTGGGGGGCGCTGACCAGTATGGGGATCTAAACCTGTGACCATGGTGTTACAAGGCTGCACTCTAGCCAACTGAGCTAAGCAGCCAGCCCTTAAAACTTAATAGCTTTAAACAACAAACATTTATTATTATTTCTCATGACTCTGTGGATTAGCTGGGCAGTTCTTTTCTGGGCCAGTTTGGCTTGGGCTGGACAGTTTGGAATGGCCTCCCTCACATGTCTGGTTGATAGTGGCTCTCAGATGGGGTGATGGGGCCACATGTCTCTAGCTGACTAACCAAGTTTAGTTACATGGTGACAGTCACAGAGTTCCCAGGAGCAGGAGAGCAAGACCCAATTGCACAAGCACTTTTTAACCCTTGGGCTCCGTAATTTTTCTGTAATGTCCCATCAGCCAAAACAAGTTTCATGGCCAAATCCAAATTCAAGGCCGGCCCGTGGCTCACTTGGTAGAGTGCAGTGCTGATAACACCAAGGCCACGGGTTCGGATCCTATATAGGGATGGCCGGTTTGCTCACTGGCTGAGTGTGGTGCTGACAACACCAAGCCAAGGGTTGAGATCCCCTTACCGGTCATCTTTAAAAAAAAAAAAAAACAAAACAAATTCAAGGGTAGAGAGATAGACTTCAGCTCTTGACTGGAAAAGCTACAAAATACTGTGGCTCCTTCCCTCTCTTCCTCCCCAGTGTACCTGTATTAGTTATCATTTGTTTTATGACAAATTACCCCCAAACTTAATGGCTTAAAATGACATTTATTATCTTCTAGTTTCTGTGAGTCTGGAATTTGGGAGTTGCTTAGCTGTGTGGTTGGCTTGGGGTTTCTCATGAGCTTGAAGTCATCCGAAGGCTTGACTGGGGCTGGAAGATCCATGTCCAAGATGATGCACTCACAAGGCTGGTAAATTGGTGCAGGCTGTTGCCATATGGACCTCTCCGTAGGACTGTTTGAATGTCCTCAGGATATGGCAGCTAGCTTTCACCAGAGCAAGTAATCCAAGAGAGAGCAAGGTAGAAACCACAATGTCTTTTATGACTTAGCCTTAGAAGTCACGTACTGTTAATTCTGTAGTATCCTGTGGTTCCACAGTTCAGCCACATTCAGTGTGTGAGGGGACTGCATAAGGGTGCAAAAACCAGGAGGCAGAAATCATCAGATGCCATCTTAGAGCCTGGCTACCACACTACCACACGTGTTAAGTGACACCAAAATTGTCTTTATTCTGTTCTTATATCTAATTGGTAATTTGGCTGTGGATAGGATTTCTTCATAATTTTGAAAATATTGTTCTTTTTTCTTCAAGTTTTGAGAAATACAATGCTGTTCTGATTCCTTATTCTTTATATGAGTTTCCCTTCCCTTTTCTGGAAGCTTTTAAGATCTTCTCTTGGTCCCTGGTATTCTAGAATGTAATGATGTTGTGCTTTGTTGTGGGCTTTTTTGCCATTCATTGTGCTTGATACCTGATGGACCTTTCAATTTTGAAACCCTAGAAGAGAGTGTGAGTATACAGGATAGGACATCTGCATACATGTGCTCAAGGCCCCTTGCCAGGCAAACAGATGTCGGGAATATGAAAAGAAGGAGTTGCGATCCTGCTCTGTCCTTTCCACTACCTTCTAGTGCAGAGCTCTGAGAAGCTCCAAAATGTGAATGGGGCCTTCCAGGTCATTGTGAAGGTTTATTTATCAACGCGGAATAGACTGTATTTCATTTAACAGTTCATTAGCTTCATTTATAACTTTCAAGTATGCCTCCATCTGTACTCCTGCCCCAGTCCCACAAATATTATGTATGGGCTGCTAGGCAAGTTGCTTAACTTTGGGCCTCAGATTTATCTTATATAAAATGGAAATAATAAAAAGTACATATTTTGTACAGTTTTATTATGACAGTACACATTGAGCATCCCTAATCTGAAAATCCAAAATTCAAAATGCTGCACTCTCGGGCCGGCCTGTGGCTCACTCGGGAGAGTGCGGTGCTGATAACACCAAGGCCACGGGTTCGGATCCCATATAGGGATGGCCGGTTAGCTCACTGGGTGAGCGTGGTGCTGACAACACCAAGTCAAGGGTTAAGATCCCCTTACCAGTCATCTTTAAAAAAAAAAAAAAAAATGCTGCACTCTAAAACTTTTTGAGCACTGACACAGCACCACGACTGGAAAATTCTATACTTGATTTCATGTGTCAGGTTGTAGTCAAAACTTTGTTTCATACACAAAATTACTATTTTTTATTAAATTTTTAAATTTATTATTAGCAATTCATTCTTACAAATTGTGATATTTCTTTATGCCCTTTACCTGATCTGTCACTTCCCCAAAACCCTCCCTCCCTCCGCCATACCTCTATTATTCTTAGGTTTGTTCTCTCCTTCTGAAAGTTCAACATATTGTTGTGGTCTTTTCTTTCTTTCTTTCCTTTATTCCTTCCTTCTTCCCTCTTTCCCTCCCCTCTTCCTCCCTCCCTCCCTCCCTCCCTCCTTTCCTTCCTAGCAGCCAGTTA